ACAGTGAGAAATGTATAAACAACATTATGGATTTTGTCTCCGGATCAGCTAGTCAAAACTTCTCTCTTCTGCAAGAGTTCTACCAGACAACACTGAAAGCACTTGAAGAGGCAAAGAATGAGGTTCAGTTTCTTGCCTTATCCAAATTAGAATTTTATGTACCAAAAGATTGTTCTTTATACCTTGCTATTCTTTGCTGCGCAGAGATTATGGTTTAAGACAAACCTGAAGCTTTGCAAAATTTGGTTTGACATGGGGGAGTATGGCCGGATGAGCAAGGTGCTTATACAAGTTTCTCTAGTCAATTGGTTTTCTTTACATATTCTGCAGTCATTACTCTAATTATTTTGCTCGTAACTTCTTCCTGTAGATACTGAAGGAGCTGCATAAATCTTGTCAAAGAGAAGATGGTTCTGATGATCAGAAGAAAGGCACACAACTTTTGGAAGTCTATGCTATTGAGATCCAAATGTACACTGAAACAAAGAACAACAAAAAATTGAAGGTAAGACATATTGTCAGTCTTTTTACACGTGATTATTTTGGATTACAGGTTACTACTGTTCAAGATTTTGTGTCAGTTTCTTGTTCAATATTGCAGTACTCTAGCTGTATATTTGTTAAAAAACACAGTTGACTGCAGCCAGAACGCAGATATAAAGATAACTTTTCATCCTTCTGCTGTTTTGCCGGTTTATTCCTTTGACAATAATTTGTATAGGTTGATATGTTACTGATACCAGGATATTTGCCACTGAGTATACAATTATACATTTGCATAATATGCTTGCCTGAAATCAGGTGGTATAGTGAGCACACAACTTCCTTGCTAAATTATTGATTTTCTACAGCTTTATAAAATAAAACCTACAAAGCTGATGCCTGTCTTTTGTACCTATTTTGGACAATATGTTTATAAGAGCATTGACTATATTTAGCCTATTTCATTTATAGTACTATGTTGACCCATATTGGGTTCAAACCTTTCTCCTGCCTTAGGCAGTTAGCATGAAATGCACTTTCTGAAGTGAACCTCTGCTGCAGGAACTATATACAAAAGCTCTTTCCATCAAATCAGCGATACCTCATCCAAGAATCATGGGTATAATTCGTGAATGTGGTGGAAAGATGCACATGGCTGAGAGGCAATGGGCAGATGCTGCAACTGATTTCTTTGAAGCATTCAAAAACTATGATGAAGCTGGCAATCCGCGGAGAATTCAATGCCTGAAGTAATCAAATCATCTGCATTTCTTTTCCATTTTAATTTCGTATATTGATAAATTTAGAACTTCCTCATCCTTTTTTATTGTACTGCATATTAGATATCTTGTTCTTGCAAATATGTTGATGGAATCTGAAGTGAATCCCTTTGATGGGCAAGAGGCTAAGCCGTAAGACATTTGATGATTCCCTCATAAATCTTGTATCTTAATTTCATGCCACCCTGTAACTCCTTGATGCTTTCAGGTACAAAAATGATCCTGAGATCCTCGCCATGACAAACTTGATTGCAGCATATCAGAAGAATGACATCATGGAATTTGAAAAGATTCTAAAGGTCAGTGTTATTGAACATTATCCATCTTGCTATTTTCTGCAGCAATTCTAAGCTAGTTATTCTGTTAATTGATTCTGGATTTCTGATGTGATTGTTACAAACAAAATTCAGAGCAACAGAAGAACAATAATGGACGATCCTTTCATCCGTAATTATATTGAGGACCTATTGAAGAACATCAGAACTCAAGTTCTGCTCAAGCTTATTAAGCCATATACTAGAATCAGGATTCCATTCATTTCACAGGTGAATACTCGCTCTCTTAAATGTTCATGATAATCTTTGCTGACAGAAATTGATGTGAGCTAAAGATTAGTATTTTGTCTAGATAATCTGTTCTTTGTCCAACACCAGATAATGTGCATTTGCTCAATACCAGAAGAATATGACAATATCTTGTGATAACAAATGGTGCATGAAAATTATTAGTAACATGGAACTTTGGTATATACTCGTGCTATTTTAGGAAGTTGCAAGAAATATAGTTTGAAGCTTGATCTTTTTCTGTCGTGTGCCCAAACTAGGTGATTCCAGTTCAATTGAAATCATGTGCGCTTAATCGTGCAGACCCTATGCTGTTCCTCACGGAGGTCTAGTTTTTTGTGAAATTTGCTTTCGTACAGTGTACAAGATGCCTTGTCATCGATTGTTCTGTCAATGTTTTGCATGTAGGAGCTAAATTTCCCAGAAAAGGATGTCGAGCAGCTCTTGGTCTCACTCATTCTGGATAACCGAATCCAGGGCCACATAGATCAGGTGAACAAGTTACTAGAACGTGGTGACAGGTGCGTATTCCCCCTGCTTTTTCCATCACATTGTTCTATCTATGCGATTGCTTTTCTGAAGGTGATCCGATTCGCATTTCGCAGGTCGAAGGGAATGAGGAAATACCAAGCCATAGACAAGTGGAATACTCAGCTGAAGAACATCTACCAAACGGTGTCCAACAGAGTTGGGTGAGAGAGATAGCAGGATGCCTGGGCTGCACTGCGCTTGGCACCTGCTTGCACGTTTTGTTGTGGTGGGTAAATGCAGCGAGTGTTTGGTGCGTGCATTACATTTGAGATAGGCTCTTGGATAGGTAAAGAAAAAAACAGTCTCGTGTATTAAACATGGTACTCTTTTGCGCGCCATGTGAAGATGCTGGGATTTTGTCCTGAACTGAATCTATCTGCAAATTCCAACCCCTCTGAAACTATACTAGCGTCAATGGCTCGAAACTTTTGGTTTTGTTGGCATTGCCGCACTAGCAAATTTTGGTATGGTAGAGAGAATGTTTGGTTCCGTGTAAAATATGCACCAGGTACAAGACATACTGCTAATATTGTGCCGTTGCCGAGTTCTGATAGTGTTGCCAACCAATCACTTTCAAATCAAACTAAACTACTGCTGCTTGTCTATGCTGCTCCCTCGTTGTCCGATTAATCGGACACATGAATTTTCAGATGAATCGGGGGAAAGCTTCTGAATTACTCCCTTCATTTCATATTTAAGTTGTTTGATTTTTTTTCTTAGTCAATTTTTTAGGTGTGATCAAGTTTATAGAGAAAATTAGTAACATTTTGAACACCAAATTAGTTTCATCAAATTTAACATTAAATATATTTTGATAGTATATTTATTTTGTATTAAAAATATTAGTATATTTTTCTACAAACTTGGTCAAACTTCAAAACTTTGTCTAAGAAAAAAAATCATGATTTTAGATCTAAACAATATCTTCCCTTCTCGGGCCATGATATCTGTCCTATAAAATCTATGTTTGCCGATGACAATGTTTAGAATCAAAAGTAGAATTTCTTCTTAAGGCTATACACAGTGGGCTTTTTTCCTAACATCCCCGCGGTGCTAGGGTGGACTTCCACCCCTATGTTCGCACTCAGTGAGGAGTCGTGTATCTCTATGGAGCCTACACGTTTCATGGCTCACCCGGGGCAGATCATTAGGTGGGATTCGCTTTGAATCCTATGTATGGACCCTATCTAAGACCACATGTAGTGTGGACTGTGGAGTATGTGTCTATTTAATGTCTTGCTCCTGCATGACACTTGAGGTTTGGCTAGAGCATGTCTTTGCACTGCTCGTTTTAAGTTGCTATGTAGCTTGTGCATGGACCCTACTTGAGACCACATACATTATGGAGTATATGTCTGTTCGATCAGTGTATTGGCCCTACATCTTGTTGAGGTCTAGCTAAAGCATATCTTGCATTGTTCTTGCCCTAAGTTGCTCTAGACAATGTGTACATGGACTTGTTGACCTCGTCTGATGCACATGACACATGCTAATTTTTGTTTTTAATTACTAAAGCCCATATAGGAGAAATGACGTCACCCCCTAGCCCAATAGTTAGAGCAAATCGTGTGCTATCAGACTGCAGAATGAAAAAGCCCATCAAGTAGCCTAGAATGGCCAGACACGCACTAAAGAACAAAAGATGCCTGCTCGATCGAGTTCTCTTCTTCTTCGTCTAGGCAAGAAGATGAAGGCAAGGAGTCTCCTTTTCTTTCCTACACCACTGACCAGCAAGCTCTCAATTTGCAAAGAGAACACACCACTTTAAGTGACAACGTGATCAATCTCAGCGAAGGATCCTATAGACCCCTAGCACCCTCCTCCCACCTTGGCCACCCAGTTTACACTATATTTTATGTCGACGACAACATCTAGCTATTTCTTATGCAGAGAAACAAGTTTCAAGCATTCAAATTGAATGTAGTTTCAATTTATTTATAATAGCTATCTTTATCTCAGTTTCTTAATTAGGGATTTCATTTAATCAGTTTTCCCCCAAAACATAGGGTTTCTAATTTGACAATTCATTTGAAAGCAATTGATAAACAAATGGTAGAGTTTGGAGGATGAATGCTTGAAGCTTGATAAACATGTACTACCAAACTTTTGCTAAGGCAACATTTAGCTCTACAATAACAAACCCTACAAATCACTATTAAATATAAATTGCTTGATATGTCAAGTACTAGATAGTTTTATTGTGATATACTATTATGTTTGGGACACCAGATCATTTTCGTTTTGGATTTACTATGATTGTTTAGGATCCTACTTGAGACCACATACACATAATACATAGTATTTGAGACCTAGCTAGTGCATGTACTCTGTCCATTCCCATTCCAAAATAGAGGCCGCTTTTGGATTAAAAAGTTTTCAAAAAAAAAGGAGTTTAGAAGTACCTTTTATCACATCAATTCAAAATTTTCTCTATCCTACCCCTTAAATATAGGTATTACAGTAATTTTTTTAAGCATTATTTTTTCTATATAACTTGGATCGATAACTATAGAATAGAAGGTAGTACCGAACCGTTCCTCCTACAGGCAATTCCCTCAACCTAAACCATTGGAAGAACGTGCCAAGTTGGAAGCCTAACCTAGCACTAGTCTTAGAAAAAACAGTAGAAATCGTGAGTTATCTCTGCAATAAAAAAGGAGGTAAGCCTACCCACACTGCAAGTCTCCAACTCGGGCAAGCTCTCCTCCCCCACGACTCCCCTCTCCTTCCTCTCTCTCTCGCTCGCGCGCGCCTGCGTCGCCAATGGCGGACCAGCTCACCGACGACCAGATCGCCGAGTTCAAGGAGGCCTTCAGCCTCTTCGACAAGGACGGCGACGGTAACCCCTGCCTCACCTCCCTCCCTCCCTCTCGTAATTTTGTTGCGGGAACCAGATCGATAGGCTGTCCGAAGCGAGATCGGCGATCTTTTTCTTGGGGGTTAATTAAATCGAACGCCCTGATCCGTCGTCTCCGTGTCCCGATTCTTGGTTTGCTGTAGGGATCCGGTTGGGATGCGTTTAGCTGCTCTGAAATCTCCGGATCTTTTGATAATATAGGCGTTGCTCGTCGGTTTGGGAGTAGATGCTGGTCGGTCAATCGCGTGATCCAGCGTAATTTTCTGGCCTTTTTGAGATTTGGGGCACTGGCTAGTGCCTGTTCGTAATGATTCGTGCTTGATTAGGTTTAGATGGGATAATTCTCACGAGTCCTCGTTTTCATTCCCATTGCAATAGTGTAGTAATTTGGGTTAGTCATCTCGTATGATAATACGACGACACTGTCCTGGTGTTTTTCTTGGATTTTCTACAGAAGATCTGTGGTGGTAGAGGATAAGAAGTTTACAATTAGCACTAACATGAGCTACTACTGTTTTCGATAATCTTTACATATATGATCAGGGAGTAATAATTAAGCAATTTTAGATAACACTTCGATTCTGTTCATTTCAAGTAGTGCTCAGCTTTTGGTCTTGTTTCTCTTTCTTTTATCAGTTTGTAAACAGCGACAAGCCTTGATGATCTAAAGCAGTACTGTGAATACTATGTAGTGATACACTGACACCTCGAGTTGAACGATTTTTAGACTTTGAGTGACATAGATAAAGTTATTTTCTTCCAGGTTGTATTACTACTAAGGAGTTGGGAACTGTCATGCGTTCGCTGGGGCAGAACCCAACTGAGGCAGAACTACAAGACATGATCAATGAGGTGGATGCTGACGGCAATGGAACAATCGATTTCCCTGAATTTCTCAACCTGATGGCCCGCAAGATGAAAGATACTGATTCTGAGGAAGAGCTCAAGGAGGCGTTCCGTGTGTTCGACAAGGACCAAAATGGTTTTATCTCTGCTGCTGAATTGCGTCACGTCATGACTAACCTTGGTGAGAAGCTGACAGATGAGGAGGTTGAAGAGATGATCCGTGAGGCCGATGTTGATGGTGATGGGCAGATCAACTACGATGAATTCGTTAAAGTCATGATGGCCAAGTAAGTTGAAGCATCATTTGGATCAACACAGGGGGAGTTCCAGTAGCCATACTGTCAGAGGCTAAAATTATCTTTATTAATTTTATGTTCAGATGTAATTTTGTGGGGATAGATATGTTCCAAACCGAAATTCTTGATATTCAGAGACATCCTATGCTGTAGACAATGCTTTCTGTTTGTTTGTGATTTTTCTGTTTGTGAAAAATGGCTCTGATCTTTGTGATTTTGTTTATTCAATTACTCTATGTTTGTTTCAACTTTTCAAGGGTGTAGCCATTCTGTTGTTAATCAAAACCATCCATGCTTGTGCTATATTCATTCTACCAATATTAATTTGGGTGATATACGATCATATTCTCATATTGACAATGTGATGAACACTTGATTCTCTCGTCTTACTGTGAGCTCATCAGTATCCCCGAGTTTTGGTCATGATCTTTAAATATGTTCTTACATATTTTACTGTCACTATATATGAAATACAATGTTCTTGATTCCGTAAGTCTTGGAAGGAATTTGAGCATGTTTAATTTGGCAGTCATATTGCTTCAGTCGATTAATGTAACAACGATTCTGCTAGCTAGGTAATTAGATGAAACAAGATCCCGTTAGCTGTTTATCATATGCCTCGACCATCCAATGGTTCGGAGTTCAGACAGAAATCAAAGATACCACCAAACTGATTACACAACTGAACATTACACGCGGTACAGTACATGAATTCCTCTTGCAGGTTAGAATCCAGGCTGAAGTCTGATAAATTCTGGCCTTTTTGTTACCTAACTACACATCATCGCATATCCGGCAAGGCGAAAAATGGCTTGAATGTCAGGATGAACCCAATCACTGACACCATGTTCAGCATCAGGAACAGGATCTGCTCACCTGGATGTATCATGACCATTATGAGTCAGGTAACTAATCACACCTGATAATATGTACTCCATCCCAGAAAAAACCAACGTCTAGTAAAAAGTTGATTTTTCTATCTATGTTCAGATTCATATCTAGAAGTTGGTTTTTTCTAGGACAGAGAGAGTGATATGATGACACTATATCAACAGTAATGCAAATTATCATGGCTTGGAAGAGCCTTGTTGTTTTACCTGGTAAGAACAACCCAGTAATGTGCTTTTGCGCCCATGAAAACCTGCATCAAGCAAAGAGATTGATTGATTGGTCATCTCCTTTTTATTCTTGGAAGAGGGAAAAAAAAAGAGAGAAGAAACATGAACTTCTAACCACAAAAGGAACTTACAAAATTCCAGCTGCTGCTGGAGCTACGGCTTTGAAGATTGACATCAGAGTGACAGAGATTCCATTTGCAACCCCTCTTTGTTCTTGCGTCTTTGCATGTTCCAACAGTTAAGAAAAAAGAGCATAACAACATGATTATGACAACGAGGAAATGCATTGAAGTAAAAAAGAAATGTCCTATTGATTCTGATACATACCACTGCAGTGTTTTGCAGGATGTTGCATGCAATAGTAATTGTAGCCTGTACCATTCAAAACAAGCATTACAAATCTTTAAACGATAAATTCCTGTAAAACGATTAAGCTCGTTTTATCTAAGAATACAATTAACTTTTTAATTTGTAATCCTTTTCTCTGTAGGAGGCAAAAAAAAAAAAGGAACAACATGCTGGTTTGGTTTGAAGCCAAAACTTGCCATACCAAAATATTGACATTTTGAATAGTAATTTTGGCAATGTTAAAATGTTGGCATTAGCAAAAACTCGCCCATGATTTGGCGTTACCAATATTTTGGTATGGTTGCAAACTAAACAAGCCCAACATCACTGAATTTGGGAAGCTTGAATCAAAAACATGGATTTTTATGTTGGTACAAATAAAAATGCAATTTTCCCTATTATAGGGCAGGATATATATCGCAAAGAGGAATTGCTTACAGCGAACATATTTTTCAAAAGCGAAGCAATGTTGATGAGTACTTTGAGCTCCAGACCATACAGGTTAGCCATGAATGGATATGTTGAAAGGAGAAGTATAGACAAGACCTGCAAATCAAACATGCATTGGTACTAAAAAAAAAGATTCAATTTTCAGAAGAATCATCTTAAGACAAAACATGCATCTCCCTACCGCTGCATAACGGAATGGCTTGATTGGCCCAACATATTTAGCAAGAAGCGGATAAATCGCAAGTTGGTACACCAAAACACCAAAACCTGCAAATTCAGACGAAATTGTCATTAGCTAAAGGAATTTTGAAGGCAATGATAGCTACACATTAGTGGTAAACAGGTATACTAAGTATGCTGCTGATTTAATTTATTTTGAAGATTACTTTAAAAAAAATGTTTTTGAGATATGGTTTCTTGTATGTATTGATCATGCATAAAAACTTGAAAAAACATCACATACCGGAAATAGCTAGCACGATACCAACATCCTGGGATGTAAAACTCAGGCCCCGGTATTTTCTGCTGCTCACAGCCCAGAGTGAAAATATCTGAAAATATAAGTTACATAGTACATTAACATCCTAAGTTCGCTGTTTGTGCTAATGTAACTTCTCTATAGGAGGAATACAATGGCATATCAACATCTTAACAAACTAGACTGTTTCTCAATGTATTAACCCAGGGGTGAATCTAGAGTATTATTGAGTTGGGGCCTTGCCTAGCACCCTGACCTCCACTCATTTTACTTCCTACCTTCGCCCTTCTTATTACTGCGATAATCTATAATTCAGAATATAGGGATTACCTCAAGATAAGCTGTATCATGGAGAGAGAAGACACAGTAGAGGGTAATTGCTGACATCAGCTGCCAGTTCTTCAGCAAACTCTTTGTATGGCCCATTCTCCCTGATCCTGATTCTTTAGTTGTTTCTCCTAAGTCTGAAGTCGCATCTTGTGCCTCTAGTGCATCAATGACTTCTTTGTCATCATGGTGCATGTGCAGGGTTTCCTAAGAACAAGGGGCTAATGTTAAGTAACTTTTCTCCACATATTACAGTAGATACTTTATTAATACTACCTCTATTGTTTTTACTTGTCGTTTTGGTCATCAACATAATCTCCAATACACATGCCTCATTATTGTTTTTTCTAATTATAAACTTATAAAAATTATTAAAAAAATATAACCATATTTTTAATGCCAAATCTTAATGCCATTTTCACGGATCAAATCTTAATATTTTTTTAATATATTAGTGATTTAAGAGTTTGAGATTTTATTGCACACTTTCTAGGATGTCGACCTTTTGAGAAAGGAGGTAGTATATTTTTTTACATGCATTTCAGCATTTCAAAGAAAGAATGGTAGGGGGAGAGAGTGGCGTACCGGAAGCCAAATACACGCAACACATGCTCCTGCTGCTAGTACCGATATGACGAAGCAAGGGAGAAAGTAGGGAAACCTGAAATTAGAAGTACATTGGATAGGCTTATCTTCTGTTCTTCAAGTATATAAACAAAGATTTATTTCTGAGGAACAGAATGAATGATGATTAATAATTTACCTCCCAAATACCGATTCTTCAGAGAAAAGATTTGGGTATTTCTTTGCAGGCTGATACAAGATAGAAAATGCACAATATTAGCCAACAGATTCAGAGCAATCTTCATAGGTTGCGAATTTAGTTAAACTTGATTCCATTAGCACTGTTTTCATTAAAAGGATGAAACTAAATAGTTTTTAGGAAAAAAATTGTCAGATTTATGTTTCTTTTTCTCTTCCACTCGCACAAGAAGTCAGCTCTGATGAAGTAAGGCATGGCGAACGGCATTTTAGTAACTATACAAAGTTTAACTTGGTTTCATCATCAAAGTGTACTTAAGCTCACCTGCGAAAGAAATCCTCCAATAGCTGGTCCAACAACCAGAGCTATTGCTCGCGAGGATGTGACCTATAACATATAATACGACCAATAAGTAGCCAGTACTAAAATATAATCAGTAAAAATTTTAAATCCTCATCCTATAGAGATAAACAAGAAGCTTGAAATGCAAAACAAGAGTATAACTCTTCTTACAAGGGAAATTCCAAGAGCTTGGTGCTCCTTCCTGCAGACCTCTGAAGCATAGGCCTGGACAATACATGATGCTGAACATGAGTACGCAACAATCCAGTGTCATGTTCTTAGCATCAGCCATCAAACTGTAAATTTACCTTGATTGGTCCTAGTATACCACAGAGTAATCCAAGTAATCCCCTGGTAACAATTGCCATCCAGTAAGTCGTGCTGAGGCCAAAGAGTGTGTTAAACACAATCCTGGAAATGGTAAAACAAGATTTACTTCAGTCCAGTCGAATGGGATCAAGTATGATTTAAATAGTCTAACTGAGTGTTTCATACACTGAGAGGATACTGATCACAATGCAGGGCTTCCTCCCATATTTGTCAGCAAAAATGCCCCATGGCACTGCACTGATAGTTCTTCCAAGGAAATAAGTAGCCCCTTAAACAGAGAAATTACCGTTTAGTCGGTAACAAGTAATCCACAATAATCATAGTGGACTAAAAATGAACACCAAAACTATTAAGTATTCTATGATAATGGTAGATTAATCAACACAAGACATCTGGTTCAACTCTTGCCCATATAATGTTCTCAGTGGTGTTGTCAAAACCATGAGAGGAGACAGTGCTCACCGACAAAACCGGCATAGAACCCAATATCTTGCTCTTCCTTTGCGACTTTCAAGTCCCTGATCTGTGGCATCATAACAAAATTGAATACATGTCAATCACCATGTACTACATGGAAATTCACATATTTGATCTCTCTATATGTTTATCATGATAATAGTTCAACTTCAAAGCATATCTTCTTACCATGAAGTACAGATACGGAAACAACGACTGAATTGGCAACGCTGGAAAGGCAAAAGACCATGGTATTAGTCAACTATAGCTAAAATGGGATTTCTTTTTTCAGGAATAGAGATAAAATAATATTTGATACAACTGAACCGAAACAAATAAAAGTATGTCTATTTTTGACAAAAGAATGAGACTACTGAATCTGATAAGATCTACCAGTTTGTCGAAACACGCAATATCATGAAGATCATCGATTCATCGTCTACTCCTAAATATTATATAAATCATCAAAACACCACTATCACAATCTTAACAATTGCAAAGGCCATTTCTACATTCCACAACTTGTGACAAGTGACAACCAAATAGCTGATCCACAAGATGAAAATCAGATCAACACCTGCATCCTAACCAAACATCTATCCTCTCAAAGATGGTGCATACCATACCGGCACACAAGCAAGCGATCCAAGTGTAGAGGAAACCCAGGTAGGGAAGCCTGTCATTGGCCTGCACCTTCCTCTGCTGCCTGCACCCGGGGCAGCGTTCATGGTACACCTTCCTGCCGCCGGCGAGCAACGGCGCATTGCGATCGGCATCGCCGCCTCCGGTCATCGCCGCAATGGCGGGCAAGGACGTTTGCTCCTCTTCTCCTTGCAGGTTTAGTTGTCTGAATCCACATCAAGATGATGCTTGGTTTGTGAGAATGTCCGGGCATTCTCCTCTCTTTCGCCAAGAAGTAAGCAATGGGGGTTTAATTGCAAGCATTGATCTGCTAAAGCGTTGAGATCACTTTTTTTGGGTGTTTTGTCTTAATTAATTTTGTCCGGCTAAGTTTAGGCAGTGGCATTAGAGGGTCGGCTTAAATCTCTCCTTTGAAACGGCTTCTCTGCCAAGTACAAGTGTGCATATTGCTCCTCTCTCTCTCTCTCTCACACACACAATTATAGTTATATTAAGAACGTAAAGAGAGAAAAATATTATTCTTGATTATTCTAGCTTGTGGCATACATGGTAATAATGATATTAAAAATAAAAAACACCAACAATTGGCTGAGGAACACTATAAAAATTTAGTGTTAAATTTGTAGTTTTGTGATACATCACCTTAAATATGTAGTTTTAAGGTAGTTTGATCAATATATTTGTAGTTTGTGAAATTATGTACGAACCGTTAGGCTATTTAAACGACTGCCAATTCGACTCTGATTTGTTTTCGACTTTGGACTAAAAAAAAGAAAGAAAATAGCCGGTCATTGCGGTATTTTTTTCGGCCTAATTTATTACTCCCTCCATCTCAATATATAAGAATCTAGAACTGGATGAGACGTTTCCCAGTACTACGAATCTAGACAGGCAGCATGTCCAAATTAGTAGTATTAGAAAACGTCTCAATTACTATGAAATGTCTAATGCCATGCAAGGTTTGGAGGTAAACCATGATGATCTACCTCATGGAAACTTTCTGCTGAGTCTTTATCTCTCCTTTAATGCCTGTATTTTTCCTGCGGTCTAATCAAACAGTTTTTCCTGTGTTTTTCCTGTGTTTTGCAATCCTCTGTTTTACACTTACATTTATATCAAAATTTTACATTTTTTTTTTCTATTTCTATGTTTTCTTAGTCTTGTGATTTAAAGGGGCACTAAGGTCAAATATCACGCTTCGTAATGAATGTCATTTCATGAGAGCATAATGAGAAAGAAATAAGATCACATAGGATGCTGGATGCAGACACCTTAGGGCATGTACAATGGTAGCCACAAGCAACTGTGGTCTCAGGTTGCCACATAGGATAAGGCCACACAAAAACCACAATGTCTACAATGGAGACCACTGTAGAGTATATTTTGTGTTTCAGCCCCTATCTATTCATGTGTTAGTCCCTATAATATTTGTTATTATAAAATTAACTATTTTAGTCCTTCTAACAACAAAAAGAAATGTATAGATACCCCTAATCTATATATGGACCCACCGTCAGTCTCTCCAATCCTCTCCCCTTTATTTTCTCTTCTACCAACCGGCTCTGCCTTATCCTCTTCCTCTCTAACGCCTCCTCTCTCGTCGCCTCCGCTCCTCCTCTCAAAGCCGCCGCAGCGCCGCTCCTCCTCTCGTGCGCCGCTCCTCCTCTTGTGCGCCACGACAACGCCGCCTCCTCCTCCTCTCAACTGCCGCGCTCTTCCCCGCGCCATCCTCTCCTCCTCCTCCGCCACGCCCACACCCTCCTCCGCCGCATCCCACTTCTTCCACCGCCGCCCCACGCCCAAGGTCGCCAGATCCGGGCACGGGCTCGCCGGATCCGGTGGCGGTGCTCCTCTTCGCATCTGGCGGCGGGGAGGAAGCGAGGAGCAACGGTGGCGTCGGCGGTGCTCCTCTTCGCATCTGGCGGTGACGGGGAGCGGCGGTGGCGACGGTGGCGACGGTGAGCGGCGACGACTACCACGGTGACCGACCAGACGAGGCGACGCATGGGGCTCTGGCTCCGCCAACGCGTGGCCTCGGGTTGTGGCTTCGCGGCTCCCGAGCCCAGGCGCGGCGCTTCGAGTGGTTCCTCTGCAAGCGCGGATTCGGCCTGCAGAGCCACGGTCCCCACTGCCATGGGTGCGGGCGTCCGACGTGGAGGTTTGAAACCACATGCCAAGGTCACGCGTTGTACATGGCCTTAGAAGTTCGGGACCTGTTGATGGACGGGACTGTCACCTGCAGCTGTACTGCACAGACAGTAATGTGCATGTGGGCCTAGAGCCATAGATGTCTGTAGACAATTACTTCCTCCGCTCATAGTATGCGTGGTTTTTCTTACCGTTTCGGTGAGGTTATCGTTGTCCAATAAGTCTCTTTTGAATCGCATGAATGAAAAAGAAAATAAAGAAATATGAAAAACACCAGATTCTAATAAGGGATGGAAGTGTAAAATAGAGGACTGCAAAAACACAGGAATGACCATTTGATTGGACCGTAGGAAAAACATAGGAATAAGATGAGAGAGATAGACTCAAAGGAAATTTTCCAAGAGCTTTGAGCTTTTGCTAAGTTTCCTCTAAAATCTCTATAGGATTGTCCATTCGATAGAAGTTTTAAAGGATTGGATAGGATTCAATCCTTTGATTTAAAGGCATTCATAGGAATTTTTCCTGTAGGATTAAAATCCTCTAAAATTTCTATATTTTTCATCCAAATCAAATGGGCCCTAATATTATGGTTACAACAGTTTAAAAACTGATGTTTTAAAAAACTAAGAAGATTACCTCAGGTGGTTACCACAACAACAGAACGGTACGTATTGTAAACTCTGAGGTCAAGTCTCCATCATATTGTGAGACGCACCCCTCAACATACCATATATCATCCACAATATATTTTCTAATTATATAGTATATAGTACCATTGATTAATGGAATTGCTAGAAAACTTATAATGGTTTTTGGGACATAATACATTTTCTAATAGCTATATTATTTCATTCTACTATTAATTAATGGAATTGCTAGAAAACTTACAATATAGCCTTTGGAAGAAAAAAAACAATTTTTGGACCACTGAGGTAGCACAAGTTTTGATATCAAAACAAATTTACACCATACTTATACTGTAATTGTATTTACATTACAAGCATTGTAGTTAGAGTGAATTTCTTTTTCCATATAATGTGTCGAATGTGCTATAGGACTAGGAGCACTCTTAATTAAAGCCCAGTGAGCCATCCTTGGGGAGTAGGGACCCCATGGACCTCCGCATGGGTGACACACTGACAGCCACGTCTACTTGTGGGACTTTCTGCAAGCACCTGGTCCCGTGATCTCGCTAATTAAAAACCGTACTTGCTGAATACGTGTCCGTTTATGTAAAACGTATTTTGAATCAAAGGCACGTTTAATTGGGGAAATTGTTAAAGAGAGATAGGGCTGTTAAAATATATTGTTTAGTTGGTAGACGTGAAAGTTTTAAAAAGGATCGGAATTCGGAAAGAGGAGTTTAGGAGCAAACTTTTACATTTTCAATATCTAAATAAGGATAAGTGATAATCGGAAAGGGCAATTTTCTTCTAGGTATGACAGATAAATCTAAGATGTACATTATTGCTTAAAATTCAATTCCCATCAATACTCACATAACTGTCATCTTTACTACCAAACAAGAGGCAAGGAGTAAAAAAAAATGGTCAAACAATATCCCATATAGCCATATTGTAGATGGTGGAGTTCATTTCAATGCCATAAAGATAAATATCTTGCTTTGATATTTTTCAAGTGTTTATTAAGGTATGACAAATTATATATTTTGTATTGTTAGCTGCTTTGCATTTTTTGTGTTTAAATGGATGTTTAACGTAGTATGTCAAATTACATTATAGTAGAAATAGTTCTTAAACTTTTAGTATGTTTGTGTGTTTTGGGTGACATATATTGCAGGAAAATGCAATAAATTTTGAGTGTTTTTATATGTTGGAAACATGCATTGCACGTGCACGATTACTAGTATCTGAATAAGGATAAGTGATAATCGGAAGGGGAATTTTCTTCTAGGCACGACAGATAAATCTAAGGTGTACATTATTAGTTAAAATTCAATTCCCATCCGTACTCACATAACTATCATCTTTACTATCAAACAAGAGACAGAGTAAAAAAAAAACTTGGGTGACCAATTCTTCCACCAATTCCCTTGTCCAAACTCTCAATTCCCTTGCCTTCTCTTGCCTAATAGACTAGTAATGGACCTTTACCGACGGAGTTAGCAACTACGTGGGTCTATGTTAAATCCGAGGCACGCTCCGTACTAAATATACTTCATCCAGTTTAATATTACTTGTGGTTTTGTGCAACGCTAATGTTAAGTTTTGAAATATATGATTATGAATAATGTTTAAAATATTTGTCTTAGAAATATGGAGGCCATGTGTATATATAGATTAGTCTAAAAGTACTTCAATAAAATCATATATTTATTGATATTTGTATATGTATTATAATAAAAAAAAATAGTGATCAAAATTATTTTTAGAGATCGTATCCTTCTAAAAAAACAAGTGTTATCAATCTGGAGGATGGAACAACCTATATATTGTATTTAAAATTTATCCTAAAATGTGAGAAATTATATGGTTCATCACAGAAAACTTAGTTAAAAAACAGGGAAATTTCACAAGGCTTTTACAAACGGTATCCAATGGTTTAATTAATTCCCCATGCAAATAAAATGAAAATACCGTGTTTTGAAAGTAGATATCTACACATTACACATTATGTCATTAAAAAATACAATCCTGCCGATTAATCTGAACACACTGCATCCATCCCATAAAATGAGACGTGACGTTTTCTAACAATTTATTATATTAGAAAACATCATATTCCATTCTAAATTAGGGGGTGTTTAGATTCAGGGGTGTAAAGTTTTGGCGTATCACATCGGATATTATATAAGGTGTCGCATAGAGTGTTCGGGCACTAATAAAAAACTAATTACAGAATCCGTCAGTAAACCGCGTGACGAAGCCTAATTAATTCGTCATTAGCACATGTTTATTGTAGCACCACATTTTCAAATTATGGAGCAATTAGGTTGAAAAGATTCGTCTCGTAACTTAGTCGTAATATGTGCAAATAGTTATTTTTTTAAACTATATTTAATACTTCATGTAATTATTCAAACGTTCGATGTGACATGGTGTACTATGCTTTCAGATGTATTGTTAGAAATATCAGAATATGTTTTTTTTAAGGGAGGGAATAGACCT